GACAGAGCAATTTTAGTAGGCTGTTAAGGGGTTGTTTTGGGTTATTCAGTGAATAACAAATATTAAAAATGCTCCAACCACCCAATTTCCTTAAAATCATAAAGGAATTTTCTTCTCAACTTTATTTAGTATGGGACATCCTTAAGATCAAAAGTCAGTAATCAATGAAGTAAACAATTAGTGCCATTCTGAGTTGTTTGAGGTAGCACAAAAATGCGACTTCTCTGTTAAGTGTATCATTATCAAAAATCCATCCCAATTGGAGGTGTACGCCTCTTAGTTTGGTATCCTCAGGATATAGTTATACATATGCATTTCATATTTTTGCCAATATAAATTAGCAAAGTGTTGCAATTGTTTGGTTGTTAAACTTTCTATTAGAGTTTGTGACTCTGGCGTCCACCACAAGCTGGGATATAACCCTTGTTACAGGTCTGGATGCAATGGGGAAGTGACTTAAGGATATTTGCTTCCCATTGCTAAGTAACCCCTCAGGCAAGGTCATTCAAGCAAGGCTAGAAGAGTGTCATCAGGCACAGATGGACAGGATGCAGTTTCTGGCCAGCGTCACTCAGCAGGGCTTTAGGATTCAGATTCTCCAAGTCATCCAAATACAGTCTCAAATATATGCTACTTCCATTTCTTATAATCCTATTTCTTTTAATAGCTGAAGTTATTTATTTATTTGGGGCTTTCAAAATTTCAGAATACTATGGAGGTACCCATGTTTTGGTTACATAATTTGCTTTTGTACTACTTGAGTCAAAGCTATAAGCGTGCACATCACCCACATAGTGTACATTGTACTCATCAGGTATGATTTTACCCACCCCCTCCTCTCACCTCCCACCTGCATGATTTCCATTGAGTTTTACTTCCATCTGAGCACGTGAGCACTGATTGGTTAGTTACAATTCAATAGTGAGTACGTGTGGTGCTTGTTTTCCCATTTTTCACTTATGAGGACAGTCTCTAGTTCTATACAAATTCTTGCAAAAGGAATTCATTCATTTATTATGGCTGAGTAGTACTCCAAGGTGTACATATACCACATTTTATGAATCCTCTCACGAATTGATGGGCGCTTGGGTTGATTCCACATCTTTGTGATTTTTAATTGTGCTGTAATAAACATTTCAGTGCAACTATCTTTATGATTAAAATGACTTTTTTTCCTTTGGGCAAATACCTGGGAATGAGATTGCTGATCAAATGGCAGGTCTACTTTTAGTTTTCTGAGGAATTTCCATACTATTTTCCATAGATTGTACTAGTTTGCAGTCCCACCAACAGTGTATAAGCATTCCTTTCTCTTTGCATCCAAACCAGCAACTATTGTTTTGGGACATTTTGAAAAAAAGTTATTCTCACTGTGGTTAGGTGATATCTCATTTTGGTTTTGATTTTTATTTCTCTGATGATTAGTGACATTGAACATTTTTTCATATGTTTATTGACTATTAGTCTATCTTCTTTTGAAAAACTTCTGTTCATATCTTTTGCCCACTTTTTAATGGAGTTATTTGATATTTTTCTTGCTGATTTGCTTGAGTTCTTTGTAGATTCTGGTTATTAGCCCTTTATTGAATATATAACATATGAATATTTTCTGTCTATTCACTGGAATTTTACATAAGAGACCTAACAAGACTAATTTCAAATTATCAGATTACATAGTAAACTTTGAATTTGATTTTTGCCTATGTCAGGCAAAAATGTGCTGGACTTCTAGAATACAAGAAAATACCACTAGACATACCTGCCTCTCAATTTGCTACCTTTATTCTTTGTAATGTAAGCAATCACATAAATATCTCTCTTATCTTATTATAGCTACATCCTTAAGTTTATGTATTTTCATTTTAGTTTAGTGTTACGTTTTATTTTCCCATTCGTGTTTATGTCTTTTATTATCCTTTTACTTATAACTTATCTATATACTCAATATCATAGGGTATTTCTACTGAACAGTATATAATTGAATTTTTAAATGTAGTTGATTGTCCTATTATTTTACATAATATATTTGGCTCATTTATATGCAACAGAATTAATGATATATTTCATTTTAAAATATGATCTTATTTTATGTTGTGGATCCCACTTATTTTATATTGTTTTCTCCTTTCTAACTTAATTTTTGTCATTCTGTTTTTCATTTTGCTATGGTTTGTAGAAAGGCATGTTTATCAAAATGTAAAATTATCTTTACCACCTCTTGTGTTAATATTTTACCAGAACATGAAAATATTTTGGCTATCATTTTCTTCTCCTGATTAATAGTTTATTATTACATATTTAAAGTATTTTAACCTAATAAAGCATTACTTTTTATAACAATCCAGTCATTATTTCTCTATCACTGGCTATATATTTATTGTTTTATTTGATTGTTATTCTTTCTTGCATCTGAGACCTTCCATCTCCTTATGGGGGGGAATCCCTTCAAAGGAATTTTGCATTTTTTTCCTGCCAAGTAACACTGTTAATTAGTACAGGACTATTTTTATGTGAATTCCATAGAATGTCAATGAATATAGATCCATAGCCATAAATTCTCAGTGATTATTTTTCACTACCCAGATTTTTGAGACTCAGACCTAGTGCTGCATATCTATATTGCCCCTAAATGCTAAATATAGCAATCGATCATCTCAAAATTCGGTGATGGTTGCATCTCTGGTTTTGTGTTTTTGTCTTCTGTGCTAAACTGCATATTTGAGAATTTGCTTTTATTATTTTTTCCATCTTTTTTTAGCTTTTCTTATAACTGAAGTTGTTTTTGTATATCAATCTTCCAAAATAATAGAATTGTAAGTCAAGGCATTATTTTTAAATTGTACATTTTCTGTTATGTGGAAAATGTAGTAGCCCACACTTTTATTTAAACATATACTCTTCTTTTGACTTTATATATATATATTCCTCCTATTAAACATTCAGTAACAGAACATGAAGAAGAGGACATTTCAAATCTCTATATTGTTCATAATTAGAAGGAGGTCTTGAAAGAATTGCAATATTTTCCAGTGCATTGTGCTGCTTTCAGTTGTTTTTACACTTCACTTACAAAATATAGCATACTATAAATATTTTATAACATTGGTTTGCTCTTTTGGAATCCTATATAGGATTAGTTTATCAAAAAATAATAAAATTAAATGCCTGACTTGAAACCTTCTAACCTCTAATTTTATAATGATTTATCATTACAATTATTCCAAAAGTGGCAAATCATAAATTTTAAAATGAACGTTTAAAAAATGGAGTTAATATACCATTTTTTTTATTAGTAAGGTAGAAACATAGTTTTCGGTAATGAAAGATAAAACTATAAGGTCACTTTAGAAATATTAATGGAGAAAATGTCTTGAAAATTATGGTGGAGATTCAGGCCCAATGGCTTAAAGCTTCTTCACCTTTTATTTACTGATTAGAGTTCCTGGATATTTATTGGGAATTCCAAACAAACAAGGTCAATTTTAGTTTTAAAATTGATATGCTATTTTATATAGTGACTTGACTTTACATTAATGTAGTAATAGACTATCGCCACAGTGACTTTGTTCCTACTTTTTACTCCGTATTGTTCATTTTTTTGCACTTGAAGAATGTAAATGCCATGTGCTGCATGTTATAGAAAGCAGTCTATTGCATCTTTGGTATTGACTACTAACCTTGCCAACCACTGCAATTTAAGGCCTGGGAATAATATATGATGATCTTTTATCTTATTAACCTTTGTACTGCCCCTTGTTGTAATACTGAGGCTGATAAATAGCTCTCGGCATTGAATACTTGAAATTTTATTTAATTATATAATATGACAAATTAAAACACTAATATTAACAGTGTCATACATCTTAATGTCAGTTAAAATTTATATCCATTTGGTAATTTAAAAATATTATTCCAATTCATTTATTGTCTTAGAAATAAAATATTTTATAATATTAATTTCCTCTGGAATCATTCTCCCTATATATTCATAGTTTTCAGTGGAGGGTATGATGCTCCCACTTGACTTAAATGAAAATGTAAGCATGAAAGGATATAGATGCAGTTCAACAGAGATTTAATGAATACCTGTTAATTATAAATGAGTATCATAGAGAAGGGAATTTCTACATAAATCAGCTGAAATCCCTACCACTAGGGAGCTTTAAATCCAGTAAGGGAGAATAGAAACACATAGAGATACTCACATAAAATTTAAAAAGTACTGATACCAGTGTATGGAAGGAGAAATTGATTCAGGTAAGGGTGAAATCAGAAAGTCCCCTTGGATAACCTGGGAGTTGAGCAAGTCTATTAAAAACAGATGGCAATTTATTCAACACAGAATTATTGGATATAGGCAGACTATATCTCCCTGATTTAATGAAGTACATAATGTAGTTTTCGAAATATATATATATTTTTCTTTTTCTTAATTGCAATGACAATTACAAGTGATACAGATAATCTGCAATGCTTTGGGAGCATAAGGTTGGCATTAGAAAGTTTTAGGCTTTTGAGTTAAAAAGGATAATGGATTCTGCAGCGAAATGTTTCCATGTCTGCAAAGTCCTAGAACTGGGAAACACCTGAACCTGCATGCTCAATTAGCCTGGAATTTACATCTGATACTTCAAACCTACCTTAAACTTCATCTTTGTCATGCGGAAATAAACTAGTCAATGTGATACTACATAATATTGAATAAAAACCTGGGGGAAGTACAGTGGTATTGTGGTTGAGCAGTGTCCTTCAACATGCAGATCAAGAAAGCAAGTGTAAATCGACACTCTTGTGTGGTGGTGTCCTTGAGTCTATAGGCAAGGCTGAGCTTTCTCTGCAAAACAACATGGTAGTACAATGGCTTTTACAACATATTTATCCAATAAATGTTAATTAAGCCACTACTATAAGTTAGACATTAGTGTAGCAGATGCATGAATAAATAAATGCACTGCAACAAAGTAATCATACTGATAAAAGACTGATTTCCTTTTTGTGAGGTCAATCAGCTGCTTGTCCCTCTAAGTAAAACTTGTGATGTAAACCGAAGATTCTACAGGTGTAAACTGAAGACTGTACAGGTGTGTACAGCTACTGCATGGTTCTTCCACGTCTTTCTCGTATGGCATTAACTGTCACAACCCAGGACTACCTTCTGCAGCATGAAGTGGTCATCACATTACAAAAACTTCCACTTTAGTAAGAGGTGAGTGGGACAAGGGAAGATCTTTCCTCCAGCATGGGTGGGAAATTAATCCATTTGTTATTGATAGCAAATCCCAAGGTAGTTAAGTCAGCATAGATAAGTGACCTGACCGAAATAAATTCAGTTGAATCATAGACTAGAGTTACAAATTTGGTGATGACTCTTCTGGAATGGCAATCAGTATCTAATCAATAACTCATGGGAAATATCTAATATTTGGATTATCTCAGGTCTGCAGAGTTGGGAAATGTTAATAAGGAGATCAAGAAGTACAATGTGGACTATAAAATTATAGTTACTGGCACACCACATACTCCTGGGGCTAAGTAAATATTTCTAGATAGATGTTATATAGGATTGCAGCTGCCTAATATGGTTATTTATTAAAGGAAGAAGTAGAAATGTGGGGAAAATAGGAGGTTCTTAACTGGTTTTAATCCAGTTTTCTTTGTTCAGGCTCAGTTGAGAGATTGTTGAATAATATAGTTAGTAATCAAAAACTGAATGCAGGGTTGATTATTTAAACAATTTAGGTCTTTGTTAATCCTCTTCAAGAACACTCTGATGTGATCATAAAATGCAATTCCACTTTCAAAGTTAAATATAAATATGATATACTTACAGGTGTAAAAATATAACAATATCTTGATCGGGGTGCTATTTACATGAGTGTGCTTGATTTGTGAAAATTAATCAGGCTATATGCTTATGATTTCTTCAGTATTTTATATGTCTGCTATGCTTCAAAAAAGGTTTTTAAAAATATTATGGTGCTATTTTTTGTTCATGATTATAATATATTCTTCAGTTATTGCTCAACAAGACAATATTGACTTCATTGACTATATATGCACACATACACACACATATATACATAATGAAAAAAAGAAAATTAGCACATAGAAATCCAAATGTGTAAGATGGTATAATGTAAAAACAAACAGAAAATGTTTTGATAAGACAACTTTAGAAGCTTTATAAAAGTTTTAAGGTCACCAGGACTGTTTCTTTACAGCATGCCACTCTTTTGCATGTGCCTACAACTGTCTGCCTGCTACTAATATGCATAGTCTTTGGTAAATGGCTTATCAGTATGGCATGAATAAACTGGAGCAATCATTTGCTTTTCCATGGTTCTTGTTAAGTTAAAATAAAAGCAATATAGTGACATGCTGGCTTAAAGTCATGTAACCTGAGTTTTCACCTGCCTAGCACTAACCAGATGTATAACCTTGTAGACATCAATTAATATTCCTGGATTATAATTGAGTCATCTATAAAGAGAAGTCTGATTTCTAAAATCTGTATCATATATGAATATTTTGTTATCATATTCTAACATTCTTTAAAACAAAGGTTGTAATTATTGACCAGAAGAGTATTAAAATTTTCTATGACTTTGTTGTTTACACAAACACACACACACACTCATGCATACACACAATGTATATTTTTCTAAAGAAGTAGGAGCTCACTTATTGGGGATAATGCATCACTTAAAAATTGAAGAATCTCTCACCAGTGACTCTTTTATGCGTATGAATTGTGTTGTGAATCATGAAATAGCCTTAATCTGTGTTGAGCCTACTTCATTTTAAGATTTATTATAAACTTCTCCCTTCCTTTCTTGTTATGTGCTTTAAAGTAAAGGTTTGTTCTTAATCAATATAGTACTTGGAATACCTACAACAGTGAAGTTTAGGGTTATCTTCAGATTTTCATTTTTCATGTTATTTTTATTCCAAGGATAAGTGAACACTAATGTTAAGTCTTGAAGTGGTAATAGGAGAGTCACAAAAATACAGAGATGGCCAATGTTTGCCATGAATCCACACAAGGATTTAAATCTCCTCTGAATTACTCTGAGATATAAGCTTGGTATGTTTTTACTTTCTTGACATTTTCCATATTTTATACACAGTGCTATTTTCTGAGTTTCTGTGTCTTTTTATTTCTCTAGGTAAACTATTATATGACAGACCAAATAAGAGATAGATCTTATGATCCATCATATTCCATTTGGACTTGGAGCCCTCTGCACTTCATTTGAAGGTAGTCCTGGTTTTCTATGCACATTGAACTGTCAGAACATTTGAAGATGATGATAAATTCCATTTTGAAGGGGACATGAGAGTGAACATTTTATTGAAAGTGTTGGATTTTCAAGCCAAGATGTCAGGAAAGAGTTGTCAGCTGAGGTTATACTTGGGAAGATTTTACGAATTAGAGGTAAAACCATGATAGTTAAAAACATTTTAATCATAGTAAATAAGTTTTCTTGGATGTGTAGATTGTAGAACAGGAAAATAAATAATTTGCCTTACCAGTCTGTCCCTATGGTTAGGTTGGACTTAATATATGGCTATCAACTCAAAAGAAAAAAAAATATTTATGCAAAAAGTTGTCAATATTCAATTGAATGTGGATACAATAGCTACTAAAAGTCTACCAGTTCCAAAATGTACATTTTCCTTAGGCTAGTTTGTCAGTTTAGAGCTGGTAAAATCCAGGAAGAAAGGGCAAATGCCAAAACTTGTGGAGGCTGACTAGTCCCATGGTGCTTTAGTTCAGGCGATGTTCCAAGCAAAATAGAAATGACATTAGCGAAGCTGTTTTCTTGATTTTCCAGAATAAATTTGAAACCCCTAATGGGCTAGATTATTCTGATAAGCACAAATACAACTCCAAACTTTAGATGCCTGTTCTAAAGTGGGTCTAACCTGTAAGTCTAATAACTCATAATGGGAAATGTTTTGAATTTACACTTGAAAATGGCTATTGTGCTTAATGGAGCATACATTACAATATAATTTTATAGCATTGTTCGTACAAGAACAGATCACAACTGAGTACAGTTGTGTTGCAAATACAACTCTGCTCAATAAGTTACAGCCCAGTGCATCCATGGGTGTGTGGGAAGGGATCCGTGAGAATGGGCCCAGGTGGACAAGGAAACACAACTATGTTCATTCTGTTGAATACTGAGAAATGAAACCAAATGATAGAATTACATGTATCTTGAACAGTTTTCCAAGTATTGCAGCTTATGGGGGAGGGAAGTGGCATTTTCCTTTTTCTTTTCTATTTTTAATTTTTTTCACAGAAGTGGAAGACAAAGTCTATTAACCAGAAAAAGTCTATTATAACCAGACAAAGTCTATTAACCATTTGCAATCATGATAGTTATTTAAAACCTATAGGATTTTATCTTCATCTTTGGAAGGATTTTCTCTGCCAAGGAGAAATTTGATAAAGACATAAATATGTATGCCTTTTGTAGGTGTACATATGAAACCATTTGTTACTGTTCAGGGTTTTTTAAATGATAAAATATTCATTTATTTATTGTTGTGAACATTTTGAATATCTAAAAAATGTATCTGGTTCTGTTAGTAATCATGCAGTCAGCCTCAGGAAATATTTCAAAGGAAATATTAATATAGTTTTTTGCCTTTGGACACTAAGCATTTATGTATTAATTATGTACATAGCAAATTATCTTCCTTTGAAAAGGGAGTTATTGGGGGACTGGGTGGTACCTGAAGATGTTTTATTATTATCTGAGCCACAAGATATTTAAAGCAAGATATACTGAATATAACATATAGGTGAGATTTAAATTATCATATGAGAGTTAGGTTTAAACCAAATTGAACATTTAATTATTTTCTCCCCACTAATTTATGAGTGGGAGCTTTATAAATAAGCCAGTTACAGGGTAATTTTTCAAATATGCATTTTTTGTGTGTGCACATGTATCTATATCTACGTCTAATATCTCTAGAATTAACCTGATCATTAGAACTGTAGTGCGCAAAATTAAAAATTTTGTTAAAATTTTTAAGTTAATTTAAACATTTTGACTCTGTTATAACTTTATTGACCCCAAAAATGCAGGTATACTTTGGAGAATTTTATACATTAAGCACACTAGTAGTTGTGATAGAATTGAATATTATAGCCATGAGGTATTTTTCTGTGACTTCCTCACAAATTATACTATTTTTGTAACTTTCCTATTCTATCTTCCCTTGGCCTTGCCTAGACATTAACAAACAGAACAAAATAACCAATAAACCATCTCTACATTGATAAAGAATATATTCTGCTCAATTCCACAGCCTATGAGAATTATAAAAGACCTCCCCTCCTATGAATCAATAAGAATCTGAGGTCTGACTAGATTCATTGAGCTCTCATTGTTGAATTTATTTTGTTAGCCTAAGATTTGTAAGCAAATGGGATTTTTCATGAGGTAATTAGAGCTAGGTCTCTGCCTAAGGACCTTAAATCTTTATATCTTAAAAAATCTTACATTAATTGCAGGACATTATGTCATACATTTTCATTTTGGCCTGTATGAGCTGTGTCTATTGATGTGTAGGCGAGTATTTTGTGGATAACGAATGGAAGTCTATGCTCAATAAGTCTCCATTCTCGCACAAAACCTTTTGGGAAGCGCTTTCTGTCTTACCTTATCTTCCTAGTTTGTGAAAGAAGGTTATTTTCTTCTGTGTGTATTTTGGATTCAGCACTGGTTGGATCATGGATCATACCACCCGTTTTATCATCATCTCCTTGATCAGAGAACTTGAGATACCACATTGAGTACATACTATTGAATAAAAGAAATGGTTTCCCTTTCTTGTTGGTCAAGGAGCTGTTTATATCAAACCAACAAAGTCTTTCCAGAATTCTTGCTCCTATGTAGAGTTATACTCTAATTCTAAACATTTTCCTCTAGAAAAACAAAGAGACAAGGCACCAAACACTCAAAAGTCAGCTTCTTTACTTGGTATGCTGAGGTCAAAACATAATTCTAACTCCAAGAGAGTCTCAAAGACTCGGTGACTTCTGATCATTAAAACACCTCCTTGCATCTGTATCTCTTCCTACTCAGCTTTATTTACATAATCCATTACATGCTTATTATATGTTTTTTTTGCTTCTCCAATCCTTCCAAGTGAGCTGTTTTTCTTTGATATTTTATTAGGAAAAAGTTATATTCTAAAATTGCTAGATCAAAAGGTGATTTATAGAGTCTGAATTAAAACTGATCAAGAGCCAAGTTAACTGTTTTCCTATACCTCAGGAAAGTTGCTACAGAATTCAAGATTTTGCTAGGTCCTCATTGTTCTCAATTAAACATCTGTACCAACTAGTTCAGCTAATTTTTGGCTCCTCATATGGGAAAAAAAATAATATTGAAGAGCAGCAGGGTAAAAAAAGAGTATAGCATTGGCCAAGAAATTGGCATCTTAGTACATGCTTAAAATAGTTGTAATATGTCTTTATTTTCTTTTGAGACTATTTCAAATGCCATCTCTTCTAAGATATCTTTCCAGACTGTTGAATCAGTGACTTCCTTCTTATTTCTGAAATATTTTGCATAGCCATGGAACAGTTAAACAGAAAACACCATGAGCTATTGTTGCCAGAAAGGATGTGTATATCATGCAGAGAGCATAAGCCTGCCAAAGCTGCTTTCCAAGGCAGAATCTCTTGTTGCATTCGACCCTAATCCTGAAGATGTTCTTTCTGCCAAATTATGGAAGAATAAATTTCCCCTTTCAATATCACAATAAAGTCAGTAGACACAGCTGGCCAGAGAAGGAATATAAATGCTGGACAACTTAAAAAAAGAAATCTGGAAAAATACTAGCACAGAGACAATTCCTTTAATGATGTTTGGATTTGAGTTTTCACACATTCTTAGAGAAAGAGAATGAAAAGTCTGTTTCTGAGTCCTTATGAATATAATTATATAAGTAGGCTTAAATTAAAAGTGTCATTATAAACTGTGTGGTGGTCATTGTAAAGTGTGGAATCTGCCAGTCTCAAATCACATGTATGCTTTTGCCTTTCTAAAGTTAAAAATCCTTATATTAATTGAAGAGACACCTGGCTTATTTGGACCTTCTAAGAATAGTCACTTTTGAGAATAGTATGGTATCCAGTTAAAAATTTTTATTTCTTGTCTCTCCTCTTTCTTACTGAGTGCACTGGACAACACATAAGGACATCACTCTCTTATGGCACTTACCATTGTGTTATGGTTACATAATGACTTTTTATATATAATGTATTCCTGGAAACAGGAGCTGGATTATGTACCTTTATCTTTATGTACCTTTATCTGCGTGTATAAGGAAGAACATTTGCCCCCAAATAGGCCAAGGATACAATGGTAACTTCCTCGACCCCAGTTGATTATTCTGTGGATGAACATGCAAGTTAGGTCAGTGAGTCGTTTCGCTAAGATTTTGGTCTTTGAATAGACAAAATATACTTTCCTTCTTTTCCTGTGGCTAAAATTGTGAACGTTAAAGGCCAGAGGTAACAAGGTATTTTTTTGTTTGTTTTAAAGCTTATCTGTGCTGACCAAAAATAAATAAATAAATAGACAACTAAACTAAGTAAAAACAAAAAGACAAAATCCTAATTGAGTTATTCCTAAGAACCATATCATTCCTATCTTTGGGTTACAGAAGACTCCTAAAATCCTTCTAAATTTGTTTGATGTGTTTCTCTTCCTTGTAGCCATAAGATTCATAAATAATATGGGAGGCAGGTAGAGGAGAAACAGGGAAATGCTTCCAATTAGAACTTACCAGGCTTTAAATATACCCTTTCCATAGTAGTTTGTATCAGAAAGCATCTATCTGGGAAATAAAAGGGAATCTCATGGAAATCCAAGGACAGAAAAATTAAACCTATAAGAATTATTACAAGAATTAAAATATCATCAGGCATGCCTTTCTGGGGGATGAGGCAGCTTCTCATGGCATCCGTGTTTCTTTCTGCACATATAATCTGTTTTCCTTTTGACTAACTTGTTTCTGTTTCCTATTTATGGCCCCTGCTCTAATAAATTGTTGTGTTGCATGTGATATTACTAAGGTACCGAATCACCCCTGTGGTACCTGGAATGAAAAGTACTACAATAACAACAGTACTAACACAGAGAGCGCTCATTATTTTCCTGTCTACCCATACTATTTGAACATAGGAAGATGACTGAGGTTCCACCAAGCATTCAGTCCATCAACGTTACTAAATCAGAAGCAAGTTGTGCGGGACAGTGGGCGATCCATTTTGGTGAGGGTGGTGGGAGCAGTAGGCTTTAAGTCCCATCTCTAGCAGTGGCAGCCAAAGCAGTTCCAGGAAAAGCATCAACCATTGATAATATTGGTGGGACAAGCTGTGGTGTCTATGCCTTGCAATAGTAACAGTGGTATCTTTATGGACAAACTCTACTGCTAAATTAAAAATTGCTCTATTTTGGAGCTTTCAAACCTGGTCAAACCAAAGCAGCTATGAGATGTATGGTCTTGGTTAAGAATTATTTTAAATTATCCAAAGGTAGTTTCTTTATATTTGCAACTCATAATGCTGATTAGTACTAGTGGCCATAGGCCAAGGGTTGGCCATTTTTTGGAAGATGGTAAATATTTTTAGACTTCACTGACCTCTTGCAGGCATATTCTTTGTTATTATTGTCATTGTCTGTTTTGTGGTGTTTTTTAACAACTCTTAGCTCATGGGTTGTACAAACAGTGGGTAGTAGTTTGCAAATCCCTGGCCTAACCCAAGAGAATCTGATTTGGGGCAAGTGTTCTTCATATACACACAAACAAAGATGCATAATACGGCTCCTATTTCTAGGAATAGTGCTATTGCTTCTTACTTTGTTCTCTTAGTTACCCAATTCCAGCAGGCAGAAAAATCCATTTGGTGATATTAATCTTCCTGAGGTAAGCTGTTCCTAAAGATAGATTCACAATATGTGCTTGTAGCCAGTTGACCTTCCCCTAAGGGAAGTAGAGGGAGAACTCCGGAAGCTAGGAGTTACTGCTGGCATAAGTGCACTATGTGAAGAAAATCTTTGGGCTTTGCCAGCCTGACTACCTCTAATCCCCCAAGCCAAGTCTGTCCCAGGGGCCACAAGTCCAAAGCAATCCCTATAGTTCCCAAGCACATGACTGGACTATAAGGGCAAAAATGGAAAAAACAAACAAACGTAAAATATAGCTTAAGCATGCTTAGTGTATACACAAACAAAACTCAGCTAATCTATTTAAACTTTACTCAAGTGGCTATTACAGTTAAGACTGAACTGGCTTCAGGAAAGCTATAGGGCTTCTGCATGGGGTGTATGCAAGCCAGGAGAAACTGTCTATAGCCCATAAATATGAAACATAGATGCACAAGCAAAAACCAACCAAACAAACCAGCAAATGCATAAGCCAAACCCTGAGAAGGTTTTAGATTGTTGAGGCCTGATTCTGGCTTCCTTTTGCAAATATTGCTTTCTCCTCAACCCCTAGCCCATATTGTCTGATAGTCTTCTGCTATCGCCTACCAGGCTGTTTTGGGCTTGGAGCACAGGGACATAGGACAGCTGTTGCCCCTTAGCAGGGCTGTGGGCAGAGTAGGCAAGTGGACATGACCAGATCTTCATATCTTGACTGATTTTATTAATATGATCTTTCATTAACTTTTGTACACTGACGTTAGTGTTGCTTGTATGTACCAGAAAATAACTAGGCATGACCTTTGGTCTGCCTTTTCAACTGGTAGGATTTCAGACCATAAGTCCATTCCACTTAGGGAGATTTAATTAATCCCAGCCAGACCATGGCGGAAAAGTGCAACTTGAAATAGTAAATACTGTAATTAGTTAGTCCACTGACATTAAATTATTGTTTATTTTATTTTTTGGCTTCAATTTGCTACAGGAAGAAACAGTAACATTAAATTATATTTGATTTTGTATGGAAAATTATAGTCTCTCTTTTGTTTTTAAATGAATAGAAAAGAATATTTTATAGTTAGCCAAGAAAGAAACATGGTTGATTATCCTCTGTGAGAATCTGTAAGTTGTCTCTCTGGTCTTTCGGTACTGAAAAATACTTAAGCTTTTTTTATTTATTTCCCCCCGGCAATAGGCCTGTCTAATGTGAACAAGTTTATTCCATCTCTTGTCAGCATTAATGCTAAATTAGAGAATAATTTGCTTTCAGGTGTTTAAAAATTGGACACAGTGGAGGCCTTTAATTACCAGCTCAATCACTCACATTTGATTATTATATTTTTCCCTGAATAAGACTTGATTTAACTAGGTCTTAGTCATTTAACAGGAATGTTGGCATTTTACACATTTATGATTTAGATTTCCAATAATTTTACAGCACTACGGGTGCTTTGAAAACCCATAATAATGCCTAGTCAGTTTTCAGAAGAATTTTCAGGTTTGAGGAGTGATATTAAAATCATGAAAAGTATGAATGGTAACTTGATTCTTTCTATTTGGCTATCAAGATTTAAATCTAATACTCTTGTCTTTGAATGTTCTGGCAGTCTTGAAAAAATTCTCTTAGAATAGCAGGAATTTAGTACAGAAGGTTAACTCTAGGCAAACTACAAATTTTTAACTTAAGGAGAAGAACATAAATTAGATATGTTAATATTTGAGGCAATTGCAATGAAGTAGTTAAAAACCCATTTGCCCAGGTTTAAATCCAGGCCTTGCCACATAATAGCTGTGCAGCTTGGGGCAAGATACTTAAAACCTGTATGAGTTTATGTAAGGTCAATCTTGATAGTTAATATGAGAAGAAAATGTGTACTTCGACAACTGCTTAAGTGGCTGGGAAGTACTATGTTTACCAGGACTATACTTACCAGGACCGATGTTCTGAGTTATTATGAAATGACTTAGAGTTGGCTCTGCCTCTTAACACTTGACTGACTGTCTGTATTTATCAGCCTGGGCTGTCATCACAAAATACCATAGACTAGGTGCCTTAAATAACATAAATTTATTTTCTTACAGTTCTGGAACCTAGCAGTCCAAGATCAAGGTGCCAGCAGATTTGCTTTCTCCTGAGGTCTCTCTTCTTGGCTTGGAGACGATCATCTTCTCCTTGTGCCCTCACCTGGCTTTTTCTCTGGGTTCGTGCATTCCCAGTGTCTCTCTCTCTCTCTCTTCCTATAAGGGCACCAGTCACAGGGCCCCATCCTTAGGTGCTCATTTAACTTTAATTACTGCCTTAATTTACCACCTTAAGGCCTATCTCCAAATACAGTCACATTAGGGCTTAGAACTTCAACAGACAAATTTGAGGGAAACATAATTCAATCCATAATAGTGACCTTGGCCAAGTTTGTTTAACCTCTCTATGCCATGGATACTTCATCTTGAGAAAGGAAATGAAGCTATTATGGTTATAAAATTAAATAATAGGCTGGTTCCCAGAGGGTGGGGTAGAGAGGAAGGCAGATGTAGCCCTTCAACCTGGTCATGGATTTTTGTGTGTTAAATAATTAAATGAAAAAAATAAAATACTTTTGTATTCTTCACATAATCCATAATGCGACTACTATTAGAAAATGTCATTTTTTAAAGTACATTATTCAAAGTTTTTCAATATGGACGGTATACTGGGTTAAATACACATGTTGGAAATTTTAATCAATAAACAAAATTCAATGTAAAAAATAAAATAATGTAAGTTTTCAATTAGAGGGGCTACAGCCACTAAGAGTCTAGTTAATGCTATTACTATTATTCTTCTCGGTTCACACTATGATATATCCAGATATAGGAAAAATCTTTCTATGTTCTTTACCAAAATACTATCTTCATTTAAATATTGCTTTGAAAGTCAATTTCTTCCAAAATATTAAAAAAAAAAGAAAATTTCAAAAGAATTTTAAAAAATATAACTACTTCACGCTTTGAGCACCTAGGTATTCTCAGGCATTACTGTTGTTCTTCACCATCTGAGAGGCCAAATAGCCACATTTGATTCACATTCTTCGGCTCAAACAGACTCCAAGTGCCCTAGCTATGTGATATCATTTGCTTAATCCAGTAGCATTTAAGCAGTTTGTTTTTCTCATATGTTAACAATCTTAGGATTGTTGAAAGTCAGTTGTGTTCTCACGGATTTTTAAGGTATCATCTTAAAATCTTTACTTTCAGTTTAAAAAGTTACAAAGACTATAGTTTCCAGTGTACTGCAAATGTCCATGTTTAAAAATGAAACTGTTACATCAATCTTTAAATATACTAAATGAATACAAATATCATGATTTTATATCCACCATAAGGAAAAAGAGGAACAAGTTCTTGAAATGGTGCACATTTAAATTTCCTCTTTTTTTCCTCAAAATAATATTTTCCCCATAGTCCATTCATAATTTTATTGCAATCTACTTTTATATCCAAATATCTATTGTTCATTATATTCCTCTCTGTAATAATTATATGGATGTACCCTGTGCATTTGTATACCTATGTAATATAGATATATATAAAGAGAAAGAAATGATGTTTACACAGTTATTTTGACTATGTCTTTAAATGTTTTTAAAAATCTTGTGGACAAAATTGATTAAAGTAACATATTTTATAAATATTATTAAATGTGATTAAGCATTAAAAGTTACTAATTTTGTTAGTAATGCATTTCTTAATGAGATGAATTATTTTCCTCAAATATTATAGTTCTATACACCTGAATGAATATTATTTGTTCCCTACAAGAAAGTGCAGATCATCCAAGTATACTTCTATTTCTTATTTTTATAAATGAAAGTATCAAAAAGCTTGTTCACATGAGTATTTACCTAAATTCATTACAGATTGTATGTAAAATATTACTATCAGATCTCAAAATTTCCTTTCATTACTATTTTACTTAGAGGCATCCATGCACACTCAGAAATCTTTAAGATCATCTAATATTTAATATCTGCTCATCAATGCAATAGCTTTGGTAATATTCTTTTATCTTATTGCAGATGAAATATATTTTCACTGAAGCCTTTGACCTGCAGATGCAGACAAGATGATGATGAAGAGGGTCTCTTCACTGGCATCAGTGAGAATAAACAAAACACATAGTATGCATACTGTGGAGCAGACAGTATTTCTAAACACACTTGCAAACACTCTTGAATATTTGGAATCTAGGAAATCTGCAAAGTTCAAATGTCTTCTTATGATTTGGTTCCTGAATGAAATATACTACCCCTGTCTTAGTGTTTTACCAATGTTTTATTTAATTGGTTTTCACAAGTTCTCTCTATAGAACCAAACCATTTTTTTTTTTTTAATACTTGGGGGAAGTTCTTACTCAGTTACCAAATTTATGATATATCTTAATTCATCCTGTTATAATTTGTGAAAAAAATTCTACTTCTAATGCCATTTTTCACCCTTAATGGTAATATTTATAAGACAGGAAAGATACAATGCCTATTGGGGGTTCATGGTATTTTGATTAATGCAAAATTCCTCAACAATTATATTTGAACTGTTTGGAGAACAGGGATTTGTACATTCTAAGCAATGCAGACTATAATAGTATTATTTGAGAATGCTAAGAGCTATATTTTTATTAGTAGCAAAAAGAGCTATTTTGAAACAACAATGAGAATAAGGAGAATCAGCAAAATACCACAAACACAGGTGAATTTAGGTTAAAAAGAAAACAAATGGAAATTTAGGATTTGAAAGAAACATTCTCAAAATTATCTATGCCCAAACACCACTAGAAAATTTTCATATGTTCCTTAGGATATGCATACCATATTTTGCACATTGTAGCTTTAATACAGCTATAAATGAGCTATGCTGGAAAGTACAAGGGTTTTACAGTCACTCTGACTTGAACTTTAGATCTATAATTTACTGCTCTTGTTGATTCCTTACTATCCCCATGTTTCAGTTATTTTATTTTTAATCTATAAAATCAGGTGTCAATACCTAACGTGATATGAGAGTTTGTGCAATAATATGTGAAATACTTAGCATAATGTCTGGTAGGCAATCAGTGCTCAAAGATACCTTGGTCCCATTTTTTTTCCCAAACAGCGAATAACTATTTTCCCTAGAAATAATATTTGTACTTGGTAAAACAAAGAAGATATCAAATACACCAATTCACTAGTCATTTGTTTTATATAAAAAGTATCTTTTGATTTCCTACAATTTGCAAAGCACTGCAATTTACATGGGCTTTATGATCTAGATTATTAAAATCATTTTATATTGTAATTTTTGTACAGACATATAGAATGTAAATTTTGTGTTCGTAAGTCTATCTAAATGTATTTATGAAAAAATAAATTGTGGTCATGCCTAGGACAATCCTGTCACCCTTACCATTATACCGTCTCTTCTGAAGTTGAGTTTCATATAGGAGGCAAATCAGGATGTTTCTTGCCAAGTATGAAATAAGAAAAAGAGGAAGAAGGGCAGATGCAGGAATGCATTGCTTCGTGGCATCAAGTGAAGATACACTGAGGCATCTTTCTTATAACAGTGATAGCCTCCCCCATGGGACCACAAATGCCCAAGAACTTTTGGCTAAAATATCCTTTTCTCTCTTCATGTTTGAGGTAAAATTGTACATGGGTTTCATCCCCCCTGGGCAGTGTTTGGATGAAAATTATCATGGTTCGCCTTAGTGATCTATATTATTTTTCCTTGGGTTTTGTTGGGGATGACCAATCAGAATGTGTATAAATGTGTTCTCTTTATTTAGTCATATTTAATAGAAAAGTCATTCAAATCCTGGTGGCTTAAGGAGCCATTTATTATCCTTCAGGTGATGGGAATAGTGAAATATCAGTCCTGTGATATGTCACTGAGTGGCTTTCATAAAATTTAACTCTCAGGATAAAAAAATATCATCTCTATAATCTTCAAATTTTTAACAGTGAAAAGTGCAGCAGCATTATTTAAGACTGTCACTGTGTTATTCCTTCCATTAAAGAGAGGCAATAGAAGCAAGGAAATGAGCACCCAAATGTAACAAATAAGAGAAGGTTGAGGTCTTTTGAATAAAAACTATTATGATTAAATTGTCATAGATTCATGTATTGGACACTTCTGTTTGGGAATGTCATTGTACAAAAATAATTTACCTGGTTCTACACAAAGGTACTATCTCATTTTTTTTGGTCACAATCAACTTAAAATAATAACCTGCTGAGGTCTCACCATATTTTGTGAAGACTAAATCAGGGTGGGGGAGGCATGTCCATCTAAAACGCACTTGGAAAAAGTAGGAAAAAAATAAATAAATGAAGAAAATAAGAAAGTATATTAAAGAAAATAAATGGGAAGTTTAAAAAGGAAGAAAAATAAAGAAGTCAAATAACCTTCTAAAAATAACACATCCTCCAAAAATGACATTTTTAATTTGAAACCTGTGTGTAGTACGAAAGACAAAATGTCTCCTTATGGTATACAATTTTTCTTTCTTCTGAATATAGTTAAAGAGTAAAGCAAAATGAGTTGAATGTTTTGAATATATAAAAATGGCTGCACAGCCCCTAACTTTCCATAAAGATGTCTAAATATGTATTAATGCATTCAACTGTTTGTGAACTGTATTTCATGCAAGTTGGAGTTTCAACTTGCAATATGTGGCATGTCCATAAAGTTACAGTACTTATTTTGTCCCCATTCTGTAAGAATGCTTCTCGAGTGACCTATTTATTCTGGGCACCAGCATCCTGAGTACAATTGTCAATGTGGTCCATCTGGTTTACTGGAAGCACTGACGATTGGAAATATAGAGAAAACCACTTAAATTACAGAATATACATGATGGGATAAACCATATGTAAGTTGTTAAACTGTTAACCTAAACACATATTTTAGTTTTAATAAACCATAATTAATGGACTAGTCTACCTACAGCATGGTTGAAAAAGATCTTAGCCAGAAGTGGGTCTGAAATTTATGTATTTTCCAGAATATATTTAAGTTGTTTATTATTATTATCATTGCTCTTTTACACAAAAATTCCCATTATTTCCTCTCTGATTCTTTATTGCAATTGCTCAAAATTCAGAATTTCATGCATGGAGTTTCACACATATATTTATTTAACCTTTGCTTTTTCTATGTTTTCTCAAATTCATGCAATGTGAAAGTTTGAGTGAATTTACAATTTCCAATGCATGCTCTCAAATCTATATGTACTATGTAGAGAATGAGTACCTATTCATTTTCTAGGGCTGCCGTAACAGAGCATCTCAACTAGGTGGCTTAAAACAATAGAAATGTCCCACATTTCTGAATGCTACAAATCTGAAATCAAGTTCTTGGCAGAGTCATGTCCTCCCCCGCACCTCCAGCCTCTAAGGGAAGATCCTTCCTTGCCTTCTCTTGTTTCTGGTAGCAGCAGGAGTCCCTTGGTTTGTGGCCACATAGGCTTATCTCTGTCTCCATCTACACTTGGTTGATTTTCTGTGTGTCAGTGTCTTCACACGGCAATTTACTCTTAAAAGGACATCAATCGTATCAGATCAGGGTCCAACCAAATGATCTCATTTTTCATTGGTTACATTTCCAAAGACCCTATTTACAAATAAGGATAATCAGGGTTAGGACTTCAACATATCTTTGTAGGAAACTTAATCAATGTATAACAGACTTAAAATGTCATTTTCCTAATTGTTGTAAGTTTGAAGGAAAGATACTGATTTAGAGACTATCCTAGCTTTTGGCATAAGGATAGCTCTACCTCTAAGTGGATATTTTGCTTTCATAGATAATTAGCAAAAGTCTCTATTTTTATTACACTGTAGCAAATTTTTCCCTACTTGTTATGGACCATTTATACTCAAACTACCTTGACCAATATGATCAAAGTTACTGAATAAGTCAAAATTTTAAAAAAGTTCAAAGTCAATTCTCTCCTTCTAGAAATAGGACACTGACTTATTTTGGACTAAGATTTCCCTTGAAAACTATAAACACTGAAAATAATGCTAAAAATTATTTTAAAGGCATCAGAATGATACTCATACCATTAAAAGATATAGCTCTGACACCAGCCAGGGAAGGGAAACTCATAGTAATGAGCTCAATATTTGGCTTTATTACTTTCTTAGAAGCATTTGCTGATTTGTAAGTGGCAACTGTAAAATTTAGAACCTAAGCAGAAGTTTTGATAAGTTCATGACGTTAAGAAATTTTAAAGTTGGGCTCAAAGACTAGAATGTAGGAGAATATCTGCAAAACATCTCAGGCTTTTGGCTAGGACCCAGAAAAACAAAATAGTTCTAGTTGTAAAGGTAAACTGGGAATAGGGTAGCCCTTAAAGGCACTGTAGCCCAGCATTGAATTGCATCAGTCCCCAACTAGAATAATGCACAATTCTCCTGATCTAGCTGCCTGACTAAAGTGAAAAGTATGTCCTCTATGAAGAAACATGCCAATAATTTTTTTTACACAGCCTAGCATGCAACTGAAAATAATCAGATATATAAAAATTAAGGAATGTATGTATAAAAGAAAATATTGAGAAATAATAGATACTAGAACAGACCTACTAGAATTCCAGAATTAGGATTTTCTGATATAAATATTACTATATTTATTATGAACATATCAAAGATGTAAAAATAGCATGAAATGTTTCAATATAATCTGGCAATTATAAAAATGAGTCAAATATGAGTTTAATAACTGAACAAAATAATACCTGGCATTAAGAATTTAATGAGTCAGCTTTATAACAGAGTAACATGGCTGAAGAGAAAATTAGTCAACCAGAATATAGATCAGAAAAAAAATCCAATTTGAAGCACTGAGAAATAAAACCTTGCAAAATATTAACAAAAAAACAGATATTTGGTAAATTGTGAAAAAGCACAGAAGAATTTCAGAAGTACATAAAGGAATGAAGAGTAAAAGAAAGGGTGAATGTAGAATAACTCTAAACAAAAACCTAACTATATAGAACAATAAAAAAGCATAAACAAAGCAAGAACAAGAATGATCATAGCTTGGTGGAGTTTAAAATAGACCATTAATGGTTGTAATAGAATTAATGGATTTCAAGATTTCTAATGTATTGAATTGTTTGGAAAAGAATAAAAGTGTAAAATTATATTAGACTTTCATAGATCAAGCATATAGCAATACTGAGGATAATGACTGTAATA